TTATCGGAAAGGTTTGACTTACCGCAAATGTCTGCCTTATTGTACAGGATTCACCCTGTTTATCATGCCTTTTCATTGACAGTCCACTGCATTCCACTATCGTAAACATCCTGGACTAAATATTTATCTTCTCAGATGACCGCTCTTTACCACTGACACACATTATAACTCTGTACAATCTGACACTTCACTTAATCAGAGAAGTCACTTTCAGTCGATAGGAAATCAAAATGGAATCTTAAAGGGATAGTTTATGCAAAAAAATGAATGAAATGAAAATTTCTGTCCCGTAAGGCTTTCAACTTTAAAACAAAAACATGATATTTTTAATGTAATCTGAGAGCTTTCTGTCCCTCCATTGACAGTTATGCAACTACAACTTTGACGCTCCAAAAGTTAATAAAGAGATCAAAAAATGATCCATATGAATTGAGCAGTTTTTTTGAAGAGACTCGATCGCACGCAGCATGTATGAGCTTCAGCAAGAACTAATGAAGTTCATTTTCGCATCATGCAGCACGTTTGAGCTAACAGAAAAGGTTTGATCTGTGTTAAACAGGTCCGGTTCAGCTTCTGTTTCTCTGATCAATGTTTAAATGTGTATAAAAAAAAAGCCTAAATTAAATCTGTTCATCATATAAAGCGATCGAGTCTCTTCGGAAATTGCATATGGATTAGTTTTACGATCTCTTTATGAACTTTTTGAAGCTTCAAAGTGGTAGTTGTGTAGCTGTCAATGGAGGGACAGAAAGTTTCAATTTTCACCAAAAAGATCTTCATTAGTGTTCAGAAGATGAACAAAAGTCTTATGGGTTGGAATTTTCATTTTTGGGTCCAATTTTTAATTCTGTTTTTTTTTATTATTATTATTATTTATTTATTTACATGGCCATGTTAAATGGAATCTTGATGAGCAAGTGCTTCACATACACATGTACACAAATACACACGTATTTGTACAAAATCGCTTTCCATATATTAGTGTTGGATTTACCATTTTTTACATCCCTTGCACTGGCCCTATATGACTATCCATTTCTTCTTAACAAATCCCATGACATTTTAAGTAAAGCAGTTTTTTTTTAAGTAGCTGTGCCCATGCAAAAGCCATTCGCTCTGCTCAGGGGAATATGGGGAAGTGGATTAATTGTGGCATACAAAGAGCTTTAAACCCGATCCGCTGACACAACACATCTCATTTGCACTTGCGAGTCGGGCCTGCATTTGACGTTGTTTATTTATTTTGCTTCCTGTCAGGAGTCTCTTTGTAAAATCTCTTCGTCTGCCACACCGGCAGAGCTCTCTTGTCACTAATGTTCACTTAGTGCTCGGTGACGGTAATCGTGCTTGGCCGCTCTTCACTATCTCTAAGCGTTCACTAATTTGCCCCAGTGCTCAGTGGAAATACATGGAAACTGGGTTCAGCATGATTTGTCATTGTGTGTGACAGTACGAGAGATGAGAATACCACAAAAAAAAAAAAACTGATTAAAAAAACTACTTTCGCAGTGTTTTCCAGAAATAATGTGTGAAAATCCTGAAAACAAGATCAGCTTAACTGAGAAGCAAAACTGTGTTGGATAAAAAGATTTCAGAATATATCTTAAATTAAAGGGGATATATTAAGAACTTTTTCAAAGTCTTAAGATTTTGTTTTTGGGGTCTACTAGAACAGGCTTTCAATAAATTTTAAAAAAAAAATATATATATATATATATACATTATTTTCCACATATTGTACATTGTTGCAGCACCTCTCAATCTGTAAAGCTGTGCATTTCCCAAAAGCATCATTAGCCAACTACTGTATGATAGCAAGTTCCATACTTTATAAATCCTTATCTTGAGCAAAATAAGCAAGCTGACATTCAGTACAACATGTGTCTTTTAGTTTGTCAAGTGATTTAAAGTGTCGTTTTTGAAGAGTGCGCATGTGCGAACGTGCTCTATAAGAACAAGCCTATGATTGAATCTGAAAATAAAGCAAAATAACTTAGAAATAGTCCTTAGATGTCATGTCTCTAATTTATATCAAAACCTGTAGCATTAATTAGATCTCAAACAGTTTCATTAAGGTTAGTTATTACTCCACCACGTGCGTGACGTCATAACCAACGTAGCTGAATGACAGCCCATTCTCACTCCCAAGGCGTCACGTGACTGACGCCTTGGGAAGCATTTGGACATGCTTCAATATCTGACGTTTTAGGCGCCCTTTAGCGTCAGTTAGATGACGCCCTAGGATCGCGTGTACCCTACCCCCACCCCACACCTAAACCTAACCGCGTCCTCTAACAGACGCTTTCCTTTAGCGTCAGTTAGATGACGCCGTAGGATCGCGTCATGTAAGTGACGCTAAAGGGCGCCTAAAACGTCAAATATTGAAGCATGGTCAAAGGTGACGCCTTGGGGTGAGAATGCGTTGTGAATGACCACTTTGCGACAGTGTGGTTCGGGAAACAGTCGTGACTTGCAAGTTGATTTCTTCAACGATACATACTGGTAGTGAAGTATCGAGTTACGTTGTTGTATGGGAAACGCACCCCTGTTTAGTTCCTCTCTATAAATTTGAGATATTTCTAAGATTGTTTTCCATGTGAAGACAGACAGTTTACAGTGACCATGGCTGTTCTAAGCTTTAAAAATTATGATGAAAACACCATAAATGTAGATGACTGAAGTCATATAATAGTTTTTTTTTTGTGAGGAACAGAACTAAATTAAGTTGTCAGTGAGTTGAGCTCACTAGGAACTGGATAAATTGGTTCATTAAAAAGATCCAGCTCAAAAGAATGATTAATTCACTGATTCCTTAAGAGTAAACAGCACTGAGCTTTGTTCAAAACTGAAAAGTTCAAAAGTTCTCAGAAAATATTGTTTAATCATTTATGCATTTTTACTTAAATAATGTCAATTTATCTTGTTTTAAGGGCATTTACCAGTCAGTGTTTTATCAGTATTTGTTGTCATATTTCCCAGTAAAATTGAAATATTTTTTTGCAGTGCAGCTACATGTGGCATGTTTCTCCTCAACGACTCTCCGAGAGTCACGGCATGAAATGGAAAGGCATATTTGCTTGTGTCACTTATCATAGGAATAGCTGCAGAAGCCTATGCGGGGGTTTGTGTGTGTGCGTGTGCGTGCTCTGCCTCTTGTGTATACACAGAGTGAGTCACCAGCGAGCACAGCACACACACTGGGAAGCAAGACAGATGCTGGGTTTGCACTTGGTGTAAAAAGCTATTACCCCAACCAGCGCGGTTCCTCTTTGAAAACGAGGCGCCAAGAGGCAGCTTCTAAATGCAGACGGAAGCAGAGCTTAAAGAGGAAGTCGCGAGTGGGCTGAGAACGATGGGGGAATGAGGGATGTTGGAATGTGTGCATGTCTCTTGGTGGTGGAATCATTATCGGAGATATTTTATGACTATTTAATGACTCGTGTGGTGAGGGGGTGGTTTAATTACTCTAATTAAAGGGAGAGTTCACCCAAAAAAAATAAAATGTCATTATTTACTCACCTTCATGTCATTCCAAACCTGTATGTCTTTCATTTGTCCTTGGAACACATTAGGTTCAATAGATAGACATCATTAGATATTGATGAAATTCCTGATTGTTGTTTTTTTTTTTTTTTGTTTGTTTTCATAAAATAAACTGAATGAAGAAAGGAACTCTCAACCAACAAGCACCGTAAGAGTGGTCCATACTGCATAACTCATGTGCAATATTCAGAGTACAATACTGTAGCTTTTAGTGATCAAAAAAGACCAACATGTGAGTTGTTTGAAAATTCTTCATGAAATACTGTATCTCAGATTTGTGAATGCATCATTCTTTCAAATCTGAACTTTTAAATGAATCGAGTGATTGATTTTGTTAAAATTCTTCATAAGAGTACTAGAGATGTTCAGTTCATAAATCAATTTTTTGATTCAGACCTTCTTAATGAAACTTTAATTCAGTTCCATTTTTAATGATTAACACTTTACTATGGGTCCTATTAACATTAGTTAAATAATTGAATAGCAATGAGAAATGTATTTATTCATGTATATTAATGTTAGTTAATAAAATAGGCTATAATTTGTCATTGTTAGTATTATGTTAAGTCAGGTTCATTACACTTTAGTTTAAGGCTCCAGTTCTCACTATGTCCTGTATTATTACTTTTGGCTCAATAAACTCCTAATTACTAATTATTAATTTAGTATCTGGTAGGATTTAGGGATGTAGAAGATGGTCATGCAGAATAAGGCATCAGTATGTGCTTTATAATTACTGGTTAACAGCCAATATCCTAGTAATATGCATGACAATAAGCAACTAATGAGAATTTGACCTTAAACTTAACTGTTACCAATAATATTTACAGATTCAACGTTCGATTTTAATAATGCATTAGTAAATGTTGAAATTAACATTAAGATTAAGAAATGCTATTTTTCGTCATTAGTAGTAACTAATGTGGTTAACTAATGTTAAAAAAATGGAAGTTTTTTGTAAAGCAATGACTGATCTGACTGTGAGTAAAAGTGATCTTTTCAATGGATTATGAATGCAGTTTAAGTCTGAATGATTAATTAATTTTTTTTGAGTTTAACTCTGATTTCGGTTGTAGCGGTTGTTTTCTTGTCATAAAAAGCTTTGAAAGACTTCGCACTTTGAATAGGCATAAGTCAACTGGACCACTTTTTGATATTTCATGGTGATTTTAATGTTTTTTTTTTTTAAGCTTGAGTTTTCTAGTCCCCTTTCATTATATTTGCATGGAAAAGAGCAACCAGTACAATCCTCCAAATTTCCCATTTTGTGTCATACTAAGGAAAGATAGTCATACGGGTCTAAAATGACTTGAGGCTGAGTGAATAATGGCACAAAATGTTCATTTTTGAACGACTACCCTTTTAATGACGATTTAATGACTGTTGATGGCTTAATTATTCTAATTAGGAATCTTCAACTTTTCTCATTCTCTCTCTCTCTACTTTACCCCCCACAGGTCCCTCAGCAGATGAGCACTCTGACCTTCTACAGGTATGACCAGCCCATAGTGGACTACTGCCAGGCGCATCAACCCCTGAGGCTCAACATGAGCTACGATGGTCCCCCCCAAACCCTGGAGGGGCTGGCAGAGCTTCCCCCCCGCGAGAGGAGCACCATCCAGACTGTGGCGCTTCCGGCAGTACCCACCATCAACTCGGGCACCACGGGACCCTGCTCCCCACCCAGCCAGAGAGCGCCCATGGAGGGGCCCAGCATCCCCTACCCCACCACAGAACGCTCCATTAACTATCCAACGACAGAACGTTCCACCAGCACCCTCACTTTTAGACGCTAACAGCCCCGCTCGTATAGCAAGGCATGATGGGTAATTTCAAAAGAGACTGTGCCTGGTGTGGTGATCCACATTCTGCCGGCATTAACGCAGCTGCGTGTCTGAAAACTGTGCATACTGCTGTGCGCTAACTGTTTCTCGCGAATATAGAGAAGTGAAAATCATTCCCAACGACGTCGCTGGAGGACACGAGGATCTGGCATACGGTGCACTTCTATTGTGGAGTGTAGTGTATTCTGGAAAATGGGATTCCATTTGTCTTTTTCCATCTTTTCTTTGTTCCGAATCAAAGGCCAATACATGTTTTGTTGTCCCCGTTCTGCTCAATGGCAAATTGAAATCCAATGCAACATGCATGAGACGTTAAACGTGGCTTTGGTTTCATTCAGCCCTCGCTCTGCACTGACGCTAGGACGGCTTCTCTGAGGAGTAGATGGTGGTGATGGTTTCCCATTCTGAGTGAAGAATGAATAGGAATGTGCAATAAACAAGGTTTTTCTTTTTTTTTTTTTTAAACAAGAGTGTGAGAACAAGAGAATGAAAAGCAGCAAATTAATGTTCACCAGAGCTCAAAGGCCTCTCGCTGTTATTTTCATTTAGTTGCCAGGGAGTGCTCATAAATGCTGTCATTATTTGATTAAAAAGACAGATCTGTCCAGACATGAGAATGTCAGATGGAAGATCTGTTTGAGTAGAAGAAAACTCATTCATTAAATTAGAAATTAAGTCTCACATGGCAAGGTCTTTCAGTGTGCACATGTACCAAAGATCAAGCTTCTTAGATGTACATAAAGCTTGTGTTTCTTTTCAAAATGTAATCAAATTAATCAGTGTCTAACGCATACTGTAACGTGTAGGCCAGCGGGGTTCACGGCTGATGACGTTGCCTGATTTTTAATTCTGCAGAGTAAAAAAACATCAAGCTTTGTGTTTGAAGGCTATCTGTTAACTAGATTGTGTGTGTGTGTGTGTTTGTTTGTGTGTATGTGTTTAAGTTTAAAAGCTGAAGTGTGTAATTTCTGCAACCACTCGTGTCAGAAATAATGACTGTTTTCCAAAAGGTTTCCTAAAAACTCTCTATATCTGCTATTGGACAGGCAAACAGAAAACCACGCCCCCAAATTTACGCCATTGGTTGAGCTGGTTGGCTGGTCAGAATGTTCCAACAAACACTGTTTTGATGTTTCTGCAGAACCAACCGCTTGTTCATATTTTTTACTAAATACTCTCTGCATTTAGCGAACTAAACACAGAACAATTACATACTTCAGCTTCAAGAAGGCAGACATCCCTCACTCGGATAGCATGCTGGAGTTACCATCTAGTGGCAGAAACGCCTTCTTTGCAAGTATCCGACGCCACTGTCCTGCTATAACAAACTTTTAGGTCGTGGTGTTAAACTGATGTGTTACTATTGAGGTAGCTAGCAGTCATTGAAGAGTTTTCTTCTCAAAACTACGCTACGACAGTAATTGACCTTAATGGAAAAGCTGATGGTGGAAATGCTGGCAAACCACCACATACTTGAATATATATTTTTTGGCACACAACAATGTGTGAAATGGAGCTTAGCTAGATGCGTTTACATTCATATACTTGTGTAAAACATGTTTTTGACCAAAACAATCTTTCTAAACCATTTTCATGTTTTGTTTTTTTAATTATCTAAGGGAATGATCTGACAATAACAAAGCTAGAACCTCTAAAAAGAGCCTTCAGTTATATCGAAGAGCTGAATAAACCAAGTTTCAGTTCAGAAAGAGGTGGTCAATCACCTCGGAGTGTTAACCAAGAGATGTCACTCAACAAAGCAGCTACACGGATGAAATTGCTATAATTAGATAAAACAGCAAGATATATGGGAGACTGGGGACAACTGCAATTGAAATTTTCTTTTATAACTCGAATTTCTACTACAAATTTACATGACATGGTTTGAAGCAAGAAATGTATATATCTGCCAAAAGTAATATTCTCATTCAATTGAATTTAAAACAAGTTTGATTGTGACTGTGACTTGGGGCAATCATAACACACACATTGTTTTATTAAACCCACTGCGTCTCTGATAAAGGCACTCATCAAACTAATAGTGTTATTGATCTGACATGTAGTACTATTACTGAAGCATTTTCTCCTTTAGATGATATATCTTTTAGATGTCAACAAAAACCGGGAAAATGCTTTTTACTAAAATGTATTATTCGTGTATTTTATTATATTTATTAAATAATATGGAAAAAAAGTATTCCAAGGTAAAAAAACCGTAGAAAATACAGGACATCCCCCCAAAAAATATATGTTATTTCTCACGAAGTGAAACGATAACACTTTTCCTCAGGCAGAAAGTGAGTGTGTGTTGAATACGTGTTGCAACAGCCTCCGGTCTCCCATACTCATTGAAGGCTTGTTCATTTTTAGTTTGAGTTCAGCTCCCGTGTGGCATTTCTTTGAACATTACACTATTACTAGTCTAATGGACGTCATCCATTAGTAATATTACATTGATTCTGCATCATTCGGTTTGCAGGTTCACACACTGTAGTTGAACAGAGAATTTTGATCAAGAAACTCTCTGGCATTAAAAGCCGTTGTCCAGTCGTGCAGAAGTTCTGTTTGGTTTTTCTTTCTTTTAACCCTCAAAGGACTTTTGAATAACATGAGAACATGGAATTGTTGCCTGTAAACTGTTTGTTTTTTTTTTCTTTCACCCTGTGTGCCTGTGCGTTTGGACTTCACACAATGAATGTGGAGATGGTACCTCACCAGTATTGTGGATATTGCAAATTCCCTCCGGTTCAAAGCCTCCGTCTTTTCAGGAGCCACGGTAACCACTTTGGCCCCATCAGAACCCCTACTTTGGCATGTTTGTGACGGAAACGTATCGATTAAACGAACGCAAAGCTCCAAGACGTCACAGGAAATGGGGTGGAGAGCTGGTGAGGTAAGAAACGGATTTTACGTCTCAATCTCTTCGAGAGAACTGACGCTGTCAAGACGATCAAAGACATTTTGAAACGTGTCCTGATAGTCTCCAGCACCAGTTATCTTCACATGTTTATCTTGTAAATAGAGAGTATAAAGAAACATTGTTTTGCTTTTTTTTTTTTGACAAGTTTTGTGAAAAGGACAGAAGCCTCAGCTGTTTAAACGCGCATCCTGATTTAAAAAAAAAAAAAAAAAAACGTACGCTTCTAGAAAGACTCAATATGATCCCTCATTTGGAAGATTGATATTTTTCTATCTGCTGTCTCAGTCGGCTTCTCATCACATTAGCATCATAGATTTTCATTTTCTTTGTTATCACTTCACTGCTGAAATCAGTTTGGGAATTGAAAGATTGATATCAGTGCTCATTTCATCATCTTATACAGTATACTTTGATTCGCTATGTGCCCTAACCGTTGTGATCCACCACCAGTTCTCTCTCTTTCTCCTCGGCTTGTATTTGAGAAGCCCAGTCCAAATTAAAATAATATCTACTTGTTTAGTGAGAGTGGCTTGTACTTTGCTCTGGGGCTTCATGCATGATGTATCAAGTATAGGCTTGATGTTGTTAGGTAAAATGCTAATAGGGTTACCTGCCCACCGCATTTCAATTCTGAGTAAGTCGCAAGAACTTTACAACCTCATAAAATGCTCCTTACAGCAAGACATTAGCTCAGTGGCAGCGTTTCAGAAAATCCATAGGACTTTCTGTGTCCTGCATTTGAAAAGACGATGTCAGGCTGTTGTTTCGGGGAAACTAGAATGTTTTATTCTAATTCTTTTAAATTATATATAAAATAAATATCAAATGTAAAATATATATTTGTTTATCATAATTAACTCTTTCCCCGGCATTTTTTTTTTATGTTGCCAGCCACTGCCATCGTTTTTGATCATTTTCACAAAAATGTCATGGCCTCTAAAATATTTTGTTGTATGAATATCTGAACATACAATATATCAAAAGAAAGAACAGACCCTCTGCTTTTATATATTTATATATATTTTATATGCTGTTTAAATGTTGATGATCACATTATTTTACATATGCCATCGCTTGTTTTTTCTGCTTTTTCACTTGTTTTTTGATCAGGAGATTTGAGTCCTAGCGCCACCTACCTTATAACAGTGAAAACACAGAAAGCCGGAAAATTCCATCATGGCGGGGAAAGAGTTAAAACATATGTAATGCACCAGCTGAGCAACTGCCATTGTGATGAATTAGAATGCTAAAAGATAATTTTACAACCTGATCTCACAGGAAAATATAACTATGGTACTAGGTGGCGATTTCATATGAATTTGTACGGTTATTATAATAAAACAGTAAGAATGAAGGTCCACCGCTAACATTTAAATACATTTGTTGGAATTCATATGAATTAGTCACCGGTTTGCCAAAATGTGCAATAGTTACGAATTGCCATGAGATTGTGTTGCAATTTTCTCCATGTATTATAAACCAGAAATGCAATATTTAATAATTTTTGTCTTAAAATAAACTAGAAATGAGTGTGAAAGTATCTGATCCAATCAGCTATTTGGATGAGTTACCTTGATATTCTAAGCTCTTCAACTGTCATGCCCTGCAACGATTCTCCTCCTCTACAAAGTCGCCAAATCATGAAGCCTTATGTAACTGTCTCATCCCATTATTCTGACAATTTGCTGCTTTACGGTCATTTACGTAAGGCGGAGGACGCCCCTGCATCTTCTCTTTGCTTGTCTTTCACATTTTGTAGTTTACGTTTTGAGTATTTAACCCTCCTATTGTATTTTGTGTAAAAACAAGGCATTATGGTAATCAGGCTTTGTAACGTTGTAACAAATATTCAAACATAATTTGACATTTTCAAATTGCTTTTAGAAAATAAATATTATGATTTAAATGACTAAAAAAAAATGACTGCATGTTGTCAAATTTGGCCCCTGATATATACGCAACCATAAATTTAAAAGAAATTCAGTTTGAGTTCCAGCTAAATACAATCGCATCTTCACAGAGTTTCCCCCTCCCGTTCGTTTGTTTTAGTCTTGTTCTTTTATTTTCCCCTTGTGATTTGGGTCCCAGTGTCTTCTGGGAACACATTTCTCCTCAAGGGTAGGATTTAAAGTAACAGAAGACTTTCTGCTTCGACTCTCAAATGAGTGTCTGATGCAAATAGCCAGAAGGACAGGAAGAGCCCTGAGAGAGAGAGAGAAAGGAAAGAAAGAAAGGCTCGCTGGACGTTTTCTTCTCTGCTGCGCAGACATGTAAGCATTGGTGCAAAAGTCTTGGTAAAAGGAGCGATTTGCAACACGCACACACTAACGCATTCATCAGCTCATCTGTGCAGAAATTGGAGGTGAAAAAAAAAACATCGCTTATCTCTAGGCTTGCACATGGCTGAGAGGTAGCACTGTTGTCAGTGCGGGGGTTGGCCCATGGGGCTAACATCTGCTGCTATTGTGGACTTGGCCCTGTCACCATACTTATTCTCTGTCGACTAAATCAGCCACATTCAACCAGCGCCTCAGCCCACAAACTATCTAAACATCGAGTGTCGTAGTTTAGCAACTAAACGTTGGACAGAATGGCCGGATGAAATTTGTATGAAAGATCTGTTCCAAAATCTAGCAAGTGCATCACCACCTACATAGACCACAACCTAACCATCACAAAACACCGGAAGAGTTATTTCAAATGCTTTACATAGAAAAATCCACCTTCTATGTGAGTGTTAGCATACCGCTAAGCTAATATTTTAGGAAAGCATAAAAACAAAGCACACTAAGTTGTGGGAAAATTGTCTATGAAAGTAGCAATTGCTCTTGAAGCTACTAAATATAAAACATTGACTAGATAAGACTACAGGAGATGCACCAATCAACTGGCCATAAATCGTAACCGGACTTTTCGATTTCGTCAGACAGATTTAAATTAATCTAAAGTGAATCCCTCAAATAAATCACCATTCCCAACGATACGATAGCGATGAAAATGTCTATAACAAAGGATTTTATGTAATGGATTTTTTCCCTCACTGCTCACCACAATGCATTATGGGATTGCCTTCTCCACAAAGTGTGGGGATGCCTTTGAACTAGCTATGTATTTTAGAAGGCAGCTTAATCATACCTTTTGGAACAGATTTTATGCCGTGAACATGCCAATAATGCCTTAATATCTTGCTTACTTAGGCCGGAGACAAACTGGCTGCGTGGCGTAAGCGTCTCAGCTGCGTGGCGTGTCCGTTTTTATTTCGGCTCCCATGTTAACCGATTAGAGCTTGCACACTGCCTGCGTGAGCCACGTGGAAAACGCGTGCATGCTAGAAATAGAACCGACGCCTTTTTTTTTCTCACGCGGCAAGCTTGTTGGAAGTGTTTCCAGGCAAAATAGAAAAGGAAAAGATGTTTATAGGTTATTTTGTACACAAATACATATGAATAAATTGCATTTTATGGTTGAAAGTCTAGGTTT